ATAATATTACTGATTAGTTATATGGCCACGTGATAAACTAGACCTACCAAATAATTTCACAAAATTTGTATGAAATGATAAATAAGATGGTGTTGATTTCTTAATTATGAATTGATTTCATACCTTGTTACATTTTGAAAAGGCTTAGAATGAGACAAACCTCTATGATTGAAAGCTCTTGGTCTGGTCAATGAACAAGGATCCAGCTTCTGTCCAGTCCGGGATCGAACTGGACCGTGCTGTTGGGCCCGTAGGGACCCACCACGGGTCCCGTTTTGAAAATCTGTACCGTTCAATGTGTAGACACTACAAGAATTAACACTTTTGCCGACCAAAAAATTGGTCGCTAAAAGTCCATTTTTGGTCGGCAAAAGTTATCCGCGACCAATTTTTTTTGTCGCTACTTTGGTCGCCAATTGAGGGTCGGCAAAAGTAATTCGTGACCAAAATTTTGGTTGGTCGGGAAAAGTCGGATTTGCCGACTAAATTTTTGGTCTCGAAATATATCATTATCGCAACTAATTCATTTAGTCGCGAAAACACTTTGGTCGCGAAAAGTGATATTTTCCCGACCAAATATCTTAGTCGCCAATTGACACATTTCGCGACCAAAAAGTTTGGTCGCCAATTATCACATTCAACGACCAAAAATTTTGGTCGCCAATTGTGACATTTTGCGACAAAATTTTGGTCGCCAATCATGGCATTCTGCGACCAAAAAATTTTGGTCGCCAATCGTGACATTCCACGACCAAAAATTTTGGTTGCTATTTGTTACTTTTTGCGACCAAAACTTTTGGTCGGCAAAAGTGAGATTCCACGACCAAGAACTGTTTTAGTCGGCAATATATGTATTTTTTGCGACCAAAATTCTTGGTCGGCAATTGTCATTTTTTGTGAAAAAACATTACTGATTCAATACAGTGGTAAACCCAACAACTACTTGTAGACACCCCATTTTTGACCGACCTTAAAACTCAGACGTCACCGATTGAGCGCTTGGTGATGTTGCATATCGTGCTCGTTCAAAGGTTTCAGAGTCTCGGCTGCGAGTCTTGCCTCCGGACTTTTTCATGCTTTGCCTCGATTTGCGAACCAGGCTTTGTTTTCTCTATTTTCTCTTCCCGAAGGGAGGGAGAGGTCTCGTAGATCATCTCTCAGTGGCCGTAGGCTATGTTTCGTGGTCGTAGGCCATTTTGCCTGCTTGGAGTCCGGTTTCCGATTTTTCGGAGCCGTTGGCCGTGTGCCTCGGTTCGGGACCACTTAACCACCTCTGTTTGCTCCGATTTTTGGCATGCATCTTATTTACTCACTTTTGAAGGACACTGTGGCTTGAAAAACCAACTTCGTGGTCGAACATCACTTCCGGTGCCTAACAGTCAGTTTTTGGGGCCTCGGGCAGCGCGTTTCGGCCCCCGAACCTCCATTTTGCATCGGTTTGAGTTCATTTTTGGCAGGGACCTCTGCTTCATTGTTAGGAAGGTCGTAGAAGGGTGGGAGGCCAGTAATTGTTCTGACAACCAGTTTTATTCCTCCATCGCCCTCTGTCGCCCATTTTTCTTACTTAAAAGCCAATGTTGACCACCCTAAGGCCACTTTTTCTTGCCCCAAACCACATATTTGTGTTGTACACACCTGGGAGGCCACCAATATCATATGGCCGGCCAGTAATTGTGTGTGACCCTTTTGAACCCCTCCTAAAAGTGGCCTTTTCTCTCTCCTGGTTCACTTTCTCTAATTTTTGACCACATAGTTGTGTTGTGCACACATGGGAGGCCCTCTTTTTGGCATGGCCGGCCATCAATCATGATTGACCCTTTTGACCCTTGGCCGGCCAGCCATGGGGAAGGCCGACCGGCCACCTAAACCCTAGAAAAGCAGCTGGCCTTACTCCTCTCTCCTGGTACATCACAAATATGTATTCTGTTTCCCCCCAAATTCTGTATCTGAGGGGGAAATTTTTGGGGAAAAAACTTGAATTTGAATCTCCCTGCCTTTTCTCCACTCTTGTGCCTATATAACAGCACCTCCAGCTGCATTTCAAAGGGTTACAAAAATTTGTTTTAAGGCTCTTGCATTGTATCTCTCTCTCTCTACACTCCAACCCTCGAAACCTCCCAAGCCCTACACTATTTCTACACCACCACCTAGCACCACACCACCACCATCCATTCCAGCCACTTGGAGCTGTTTTCCAGAGCTAAGGAGCCACCAAACTTGGTCCAAGAGTTGTCAAAGATTTGGTCTTCAAGGGTAAGTCTTCTCCTCCCTCTTTCTTGCCTTATTTTGCTCAATATATTAGCCATACTTGCTTGCATATTTGGGCTCCGACCCTAACTTAAAATAGCATTATTTTGAGGTTTTTTTCATGTTTGTTTTAGGGTCCTTCCATGTTTAAGGTCTCTAGCTACCACTTGCTTCTTTACCTCTCGTGTATGCCTATTTCTTGCATAGTATTTTAGGCCTATTTGTAAACTGTTTTGAGTTTGGTTATGAACTGAAAAGTGGCTTATTTTGAGCCCTTATTCAATATTGTTGAAGGGCTCTTCACTGTTTGAGACTTCCTTTTGTCACTTGCCTCTTTATCCCTCTTTTGGCCTTATTTTTGCATGTTTTGTTAGCCCCTTGTGCTTGTATTTTTGGGCTCTGGTCCAAACTGTAAATAGCCTTATTTTGATCCCCTATTCATGTTTGATCAAGGGACCTTTGCTGTTTGAAGTTCGCTTTTTGCTCTTTGTGTTTAAACCTCTTTTTAGGCCTTATTTTGCATAGTATTTTAAGCTTGCATGTGCACTGTTTTGGGTTTGGTCACTAACTGTAAAACACCAAGTTTTGGGCCTATCTTCAACTTTGTTGAAGGGTCCTCCTCTGTTTGGGGCCAGTAACCATCACTTGCTTCTTTGTCTCCCTTTTGGCCCATTTCTTGCACAATTGTTTTAGGCTGTTTGTGTTTAGATCCGTGGCTTGTTGAAAACTGTAAAGTGCTTCATTTTGAGCCCCTCTTCAACTTTGTTGAAGGGATCTTGGCCATTTAGGGCCATCAACTGCTACTTGCTTCATTACCTCTCTTACGGGGCCATTTTTTGCATGCTAGCTTAGTCCTATTTGTGTCCATTGTTTGGCCTTGCTTAAAATTGTAATATGCTTATTTTGGGACTGTCTTGATTCTGTATTCACACTTCATGTTCAAATAATGCATGCTTTGCATAGCCATAGGTCATTCCATGTACCTAATTTCATGTTTCGGGTCTCATTCGCATGCATCGGGTACCATATTGCCATGTTTCGGGGCTGTTTTGCATCATATTTCGGTACTGAAATTTGCATGCTTGTATACCATATTCCATGCCCTGCCATGTTTTGTTAGAGTGGCATTTGTGCCTTAGGTTCAGTCCTCGATTTGCGTGCATGTGTGCACGCATCTCGAGTGTCTCATTTTCATCTAATGGCCTCTTATGTAAGTGTGGCTGAAGTCCACTCATGTTGGTGTAAGTCCATTATGCATTGTGTATGCTATTTCATTTCATAGCATTGCGTATGCTAAGTTGTATGTTAGTGCATTGTGTATGCCATGTTATCTCGTGCATCATGTATGCCATTTCATAACATTGTGTATGTTAAGTTGTATCTTAGTTGCATTTCATGCATATCATGCATATTGCATCGTACTTGGGATAAGAGTTAGCCCGAGCACGGAAAACGAGGTACGTTTCGTACTCCGAGTGACGGAACGTATCTCAATTCCCAGTCACTGACACTTCAGATTATCCATGATGGAGTTAGGTCTTGTTGTGTTTTCATATGCATTCATTCTATATTGAGTTGCACAATTCGACTCCTCAGCCATCATGCATCGAGATGCGCGATTGGTGGCACGAGGATCGAGGCATGCATACATTTGTGAAAATACATTGCCATGCCCTTTTCCTGCTCTCTGTTGCAGCAAATCAAGAATCAGTAGCCTTTCAAAGGCCTTGCACAGCATTCCGGCATCAATTGCAAACAGAGGCTAATTGGGGCATCGCAGTGGATTTCCGTGCCATGCAACCCAAGTATGCACCATTCATCATCCGGAGCGGAGTCAAGGCAGTCCCTAGCTTGCATGATAGTTTACAGCTTTCTTAGTTTAATTTGTTAATCAATTAGAATTCTGTATTTATTTGGACTGTAATTATTTATTTGGGACTGTATTATTTATTCGGACCCTCCGAGTGAGGGCACAACTGTAATAAGTGTGCATGTGTGTGATGTATGTCTTCCAACCCCACGTCTTTTTCCCTTTTATTTACCCGCTTATGATGGTTAGATTAGGGCATGTTTCAATTAGCATACAGTATGATAGCATGTTTGCATTCATTCATCTGTTTTGCATGCACCGGGCTCGACGCATCATACTAAATAGATTTATTTTTTGCGACCAAAACTTTTGGTCGGCAAAAGTGAAATTCCACGACCAAGAGCTGTTTTGGTCGGCAATAGATTTATTTTTTGCGACCAAAACTTTTGGTCGGCAAAAGTGAAATTCCACGACCAAGAGCTGTTTTGGTCGGCAATAGATTTATTTTTTGCGACCAAAACTTTTGGTCGGCAAAAGTGAAATTCCACGACCAAGAGCTGTTTTGGTCGGCCCATTTGTTACTTTTCGCGACCAAAACTTTTGGTCGGCAAAAGTGAGATTCTACGACCAAGAGCTGTTTGGTCGGCAATAGATGTATTTTTTGCGACCAAAACTCTTGGTCAGCAATTGTCATGTTTTGCGAAAAAAAATTACTGATTCAATACAGTGGTAAACCCAACAACTACTGATTCAATTCCTCAAGAGAGTCAAATGAGATTAAAACAATTAGCCACAGTTCTTGCTTGCTATGCAGCCACCAATGTTTTTTTCCCTAAAACACAAACAAAACTAAAAACTACAAATAACCTAAGCAAGAAAAAAATTCAGAGATCTCGAGAGAGAGTGAATTGTCAGCAGAAAACCACAACGGTGCTCTCCCTCCCTACAACTCATCCTGCAAATACAAAGCAACAAACAAGATATATCAAAGTGGATCCTTTGTGGAATTGATATTTTTAAACAATTAAAAGTAGAAAGAAATCCTACATGTGCACTCTCTTCTGTAATATCAGCATCTTTGTCAATTTCATCATCATCACCTTCAGCCTATAAAAACCAGTTTATCAAGATTAGGACACGGTTAAAATAAACAAATTATATTGTTTAGATGAATTCGTGGCACTTACATCAGAATCTACAGGATCATCCTTTGATTCCTGACAGAAAATCAAATTGAGAAGTTGGCAACAAGACATGGAATAGCACAATCGATATTGTATTCAACCAAATAAATGCACTGATGACTCAGAGAAGCTAGTTAAACATGTTCAAATTTGACAAATGTTAATACATGTTCTGATATCCATTCTGTCTGCATTGATGCATTTCTGGCAAAATAAATACTAATGTAGTGCTTGGTTCATGGATTAGGGTACAACAATTTGAAAAGGAAAATGAAAATAGAGAAAAAAATTTAGCTTATATTTCATTCTCATTTGCCTCACCTTTCCCTTTTCTGTTGCCCTTTTCAAATCCTTACCTAAATCTATGATCCAAACACATCATAAGAGGATACTATTTCTCTATTATTTATAGTTGCCAATCTAGATTTCACAGCGGAGATATTAATAATAGAAAAAATGTAAAAGATTTATTAAATGAAATATTAAATAACAACAATTATGAACAAAAAATAATACCTCCTTCTCTCTCTTCTTCTCTACCTCATCAAATGCTGCCTTCTCAGCTTGCAAAAATCAAATATAATTCCAAACTTCAACAATTTGAAGATATTTTCAAATATATCAAAACTTGGTTTTGAGGGGCAAAAGACAACATACATCCTTTTGTTTGCCCCATGTTTCCTCTGCCAGCTTCATCGCATAATCCGGATCATCACAAATCAAGACATTGTCAAACAGGGTTCCAGATTTCACCTGACAAAATTCATGCAACTTGCTTAGTCATAGTCACAATTCCATAAGAATGATAAACCATTTATAAGGGAAAAAACAAAAATACCTGCCACAAATCAATGCCCACATACTTCAACTTCGGGAAAACATAGATTTCAGGGTCATCTTTGAACTCTGCATATAGTAGCAATTTTTCGGTGTTAATGAAACATGTAACTTAAAGATGTAGACTAGAGATAATACATGAAGCCTTCAAAAAAAGAAGGAAAAGCAACCTGGGTTATCAATCATAGGTGTCTTCCACTTGCGCTGGTAGTTGGGATTCTTAATTTTCTGAAAGCAGGAGCGAACTTGTTATAAATCATTGGTCTCCAATCACAACACTTATTCTTTATATATTCAAATTATTATTATGATATCTTACTTATTTACAGCATGACAACAAGGTTAGACTTAACACACGTGCATACAGACATGATCGTGCACCTGCACTGTGCAAGTTAGTGTTACATTAACGAAACATTATTTCAGAGAATGATCAGCAGCACGACTAGTGTTGGTAAAAGTGGGCTTCAAGTGCAATAGCAGAAAAGCTTATAGTAGTTAAAGTAAAGCGCATTTACAAAATACGCTTAAAGCGCGGTTTTTGAATTAAGCATGGCTTTTTGCCCTTTTTTATTTTATGTTTAAAAAATAAAATATTCTCAACTCTTACGACGAGTAATTATGACATTATTAATTAATGCACATCAAACATAGCATGAGGTGGATTCAATTTATCAAATGATCACATGTAGGATAGGGAACCCTTTAAAGGTATCTATCTGCCTTTGAAATATGATCCTTCTTGACAATAAAAATACATAGCTTAGTTTCATAGCAAAAAACTTCCTTAGAACATGAAGGTTACCAGCTGATGCATTGTCCACCTCTTCACAAAGAAAAAGCTTTCAAAGCCTTCAACAAATTGCAGTCCAGTTAAGAGAGAATCATTGATGCATCCTGGTGCACCTGTTTAAGCATATAACAGACTTGCTATTGAAACATGCTTGCAAAACACATTAAGAAAAATCAAAACAAACACAAAAACAGCTTAAACTGTGTAAAAACAATGCTCTAAGTTGTATTTCAAAGAGCATGGAACCGCTTTTTCTATTCAAAGAGAAGATAATTGTATAAACTTATTCCCTCTTTATTTGTGTTCCCCTTCTTGTTCATTATCATCAACATCAACTAAATTTTGCTCTATTTATGTATTTGCTTTTGTTCTTTACTAGTTATATATTTCTGAGACAAAAACAATAAATATATTTATGTGTTACAAATACCATATATGGAGACAAAGGAGATTGTCTTATTCTTTACTAGTTTACAAATACCTAAAATGAGTGAAACCAATTTTTTATTCATTCTTTCTACTTAACTAGAACCATATCCAGTTTACCTTTCAGTTTTAAAGATAATAAAAACGGAAGAAATTAAATTGTTTCGGACACTAGCCACTGAACCTCATTCATGTGATTGATATCACTGACAGAAGACAATTGGCAACCAATGGCAATGATCCAAAAGACCTGTTTTGTTATGTTGAGTTATAACATAATGCATGATTCTCCAGGGTTCCTGAGCTTAGCCAAATATAGATTTCAGGCAAAGTTGAAATTCCTAATAAGCATAATGTTTGCCAAACAAGCAAACACGTGGTGCTGAGAAATCACCTTGAAAAGGGCAAGCGATGCCGATCCACTTACTTACGTACTTGGAAAATACCTGCCGATGAAGCATTACACCATTGGTCATTCCTCTTGGGGCAAATAAGTTGTTAATATTTTCCATGTAATTGATACAAGTCAACGGGAGAAAATATGTGCACATCATTATGGAGAGAGATGAAACACGTTTTTATTGCGCTACTGTTAGTATGAATAACTAGAAAATATATGTTAAGATTATATATAGAGAAAAAGGCAAACATAGTTTTAGTTTTAACAAGAAACGCTGTCCCTTCTCTTTTGAATCAAATAGATTCATATCTAAAAGAGGCTATAAGAATTGGGTTCAAACTTTCCCCAGCCACTTCTCATTAATAGTCTCCCAATGTATATAAAAAGGGGTGTCGTGATTTGTTTAACTCTCTCACTACCAGTTGATTCAAGACCTATCCCTTTGTGCCATCAAGTAATCATAATCTTATTCTTGGATCTTGTTAGTCATATTGAGGGAATTAATATATTTTTATAGATTCTTCTAATTTATATGTATACTAAACTACTATAGTATTAGAATTTTTTTTAATTAATTTGTTTGTTTGATTTTGCCCCTTTTTTTTTCATTTTCTTATAGTGTCTTCTTTATTATGTTTCTTTTTCCATCAAATGAATCCAAAACCCCATACTATATCTCTCGACAGATCAAAGAAAGGAAGACACTTCAAATATTTTTCTATTTATTTTTAGCTATTGGAAAAAGTGAGGATTTTCTATTTATTCATTCAATTCAACAAGCTATTAAATAAATTGAAAAAAGGAGACTGGAAATGAAAGCCTCTTTCTCACATATCAGATGGGTAATTAATAATTGTTGCTCCTAACATTGTAGTTTTGGCTTCTATATAGAATTTTAGTTTCAAAATGCATGCCTTTGCAACTATTATGAGTTGTACATCACCGTAAATACAATTTCCAGCATTTAAATATTAATTCCATCATTAAATCTTTAACTTCAGTATGTAAATTAAATTTCTAGCAGCAAGTATTTATTTTCAGCAATTTAGATTAGCAAATTTGTGCTTAACTCATTCAAGTAATGCAACATTGGTTATTACTATACTTTGCATACATTTGCACGCACTTACATGGAATCAAACTTTTCTCAATACCAATACATGAACCGTTCCTTGAACTGAAATAGCCCAAGGCACAACCAACCATGTTCTATTAATTAAGAACATGCTGCAAACTCCACAAACATATATTCCCATGTGCAACTCATTAAAACATCCAGAAATAAAGCAAATGGTGAGAAAGGGCCTCTGAGGAGGCAACATAGAGATCAACCTCATTCGATTTAAATAGTTCAATAAAAGTGATTAAAAAAATCAAAAGAACGGCTGTTTAGACAAAGAGATCCTAATGGAAACACTCAATTGTCCATATTGTTCTGCACAGTTCAGGGTAACCATCCTACCAGTATCAAGAGTGCTCCTTGAAAATGCAGCAGATCCTTTAATTCTCTTCTCCAATCCAGGTTTTTCATCATCTAATCAACACGTTCACCCAATTCAGTTCTGCAACAGAAAATGAAAAGTAGAACATAAGCAGCAAGAATCATGAAGAGAACCTACCAAATCTTGAGCTCTTAGATCTTGAGTTAGATTTCGAACAAAAACAAAAAATTTAAAAATTTAAAATTTACAAATCTCCTTTTTATTCAACTGTTTTCTCAGCAACCAAACAGCAATCAAAGAAATTTATGAAAAAAAGAAAAAGAAACCCACCTCTGAAACAGGACTGTGAGATGGATCAAACAAATGCGGAGGTAGAGAACCCGAATGCATTGATCTCGGCACCCCCATTCTCTCTCTAACTCTCATCTCTCTCTTGATCGGTTTCTTTTCTTCCAAATTGTCCCCAACCCTAGGCGACAAAACCTCATTCATCTCCCACAGCGTCGCCGCCAGCTTCCTCGCAGACACCAGCCTCGACCTCCCACTACCGCTCTGCGATGACGCGTACTTAGGAGAATCCAAAGCCGTCGCCGTCGTCCTCTAAGACAGAACTGGAGTGCTCGATCTGGATCCCCGAGGCTTACCCACCAAAATGGCCCGCTTGAATCGGTAATTCTGCAACATAGTGGATGAAGACGAAGACGAAGAGCAACCCTCCTTTCGGATCTTGCAGGATCCGGGAATCAAACCCTCCACAACCCGATTCTGCCTTGGCATTATCAATTTCAATTTCAATTTATCACTCTCTCTCTCTCTCTCTGATCTATGAAGAAGAAGAAAAAGAAGAATGGATTTGTATTTGAAAATTCAAACCCTAGAAATTTATGATATGGGTTTTGAAAGTGTATGTATATGCTTTTTCATAGCTGGAGCTGGTGGATAGAGTGGGTTGGGGTAATCAGTAGTAAGAGAGCGATGCAAACAGAAGGAAATGAGAGAGAAAGAGCATGAGAAGGTGAATGCGTGGTACAAAACGATGTCGTTTTAAAAATGGCGACCAAATTTTTTTGTTGCAAAAAAAATTCAATTCCCGCCTCTATAAAAATCAAATTTCCCTCCCAAACTTTTGCCGACCAAAAGACCATATTAGTCGCAGAAAAGATACCTTCGCCGACAAACTTTTTTAGTCGCCAAATCTCAATCAATGGCGACTAAAACATTAGTCACTAAAAGTACTAATTTGGCGACAAATTTTTTTTGGTTGCTGAAAATATGTTTTTGGCGACCAAAATATGTGACCTTCTGCGACCAAATTTGTAGTTGGTCGGCAAAAGTATACCACTTTCTGCGACCAACTCATTTTTTAGTCGCCAAAATATAACCTTCTGCGACCAATAATATTTGGTCGCCAAAAATAATGATCATTCGCGACTAATTAATATTTGGTCCCCAAATGTCATTTTTTTGCGACCAAAATTTATTTGGTCGGCAAAAGTGGTCGCAAAATGTGTAAATTCTTGTAGTGAGAACTCGCCGAGTACTACGTGCCTATAAAAAATCACATTGATTGGATATCGATAGCTATGTGATCAAATTAGTTTTGTATAAAAAAAAATAGACGGTGAAAAAATTAACGGTTGATAAAAAACTGTTTTGTTCACATAGCTATCGATATCCGATCAACGTGATTTTTTACAAGCATATAGTACTCAACGAGTTCTACACATTGAACGGTTCAGATTATCAAAACGGGACCCCTAATGGGCCCCCACGGGCCCCCACGGGCCCAACAGCACGGTCCAGTCCGATCCCGGACTGGACATAAGCCATGGCCATGAACAAAACCATCATTTATTAGTTAGCCCAAGTTCAGCCCTAGTTTAACTCTTAGGTTCTGTTTTTCAAGTTTTGTTGGAAATGGTTGAAAAATTCTAAGTAAAAACATAATTTTTTTCTAACTTTGGTCTATTATTTAGGTGGGACCCGTGCGTCAATTTTGGCGGGTCTAAGTGGTAACGCGTTCTATGTCTCGTTGCGATTCACGTGGTATATTTGGTTGTTCAAAACCATTATCGGGTGAATGGAAAATTAAAGCCAAAGTGAGCTCCATAGAAATGGAGTTTTGGTGGAAATTCCTTAAGATTGGAAAATGGCTTGTCCCACATTGATTTGGTGGGAAGTTTTGAGTGAGTTTATAAGGCATGGGATTGGACCTTGGGGTGTGCCCCAAGGGGTACCCAAGTTTTGTAGAGAGAGAGATTTTGGGCAAAATGGGCTAAACCCATTCGACCCAAAAATCACCACGCGCACCGCCGCCGCCCCCTATTCGGGCGGGCTGGGCTGGGCCTGGACGCGGGTGCGTGGTGTGTGGTTGGATTGGGTTTGTTCGGCCCAATACTAATCTTTTTGGGAAAAAAACATTTGAATTTTATTTTTTCCAATTTGATTTTCGGAATTTAAATTCAGAATTGGGTCTAGTTTTCTCCCACCCGAAAAATTTGACTCTGTTTAAAACTCAATCAGTACCAATTCAAAGCCAACAGGTTCAGTACCAGTCCAAACAGGTATGCTACCTGTTCAATTCAAATTAAAAGGGTACCACTACATCTATAAATAGACCAGCCATCATTTGATGATATTTACACAATTTTCGTCGATATTATTCTTCAATTACTCTCTACATATTGCTGCATTATTTTCCTTCTGAGAAGAGTATATACACTAAGGGTGGTTGTTGAACAAATAAATTGTAGTGCTGCATTTATTTGTTGTTGATCATTTCATCCTAGGAGAGAGACGTCCATATTTTGAAAGTACCGTGGAGAGGACGAATCTGTCTTAAGGATACAATATCAAACACTAGACTTGATCAGAATAATATTCAAGGTATTAATTAAGTAAGTTATTTATTCATTTTCTATTTTTATTATTTATTTAAATCAGATTTTAATTTTGTTTTTGTAACAAAATAAAATTTGTTTTTATTTATTTAATTCTATTTCTAATTTGATTTTTGTAATCAAACATTCTCTCTCTTTTTCTATTTTTCTTTTATATTCTGTTTGTCGTTTACTACCCAAACAGAATTAATTAATTTAATTACAGTGAAGAATGTCCAACAATCTTAAGACATAACATATTTGGTGTCTTCATTGTATTTAATTTTCTGTGTTTTCAAAGTAATATTTTGGTTGATAAATATAAATAGTATTTATCAACTATTTGACAGATAGTAGTAATATACTGTCTATTTTCTTTGACAACTAGTAGTAATATACTGGTGTCATTAACAATTACAGAATATTATTTGGTGTTACAGAAAATTATTGTTATATTTTATTTTCTGGTTTTAGTAACAAGGAAAATAAAATTATTTTGTATTATAATTTATTTTATGGTTTTAGTAACTAGAAAATTAATTTGTTTTTTGTTTTTCTGATTTTTGTAATCAGATTTTATGGCTATTGCAACTGAAACTGCAACTGGAAGTGGTACTCTAACTATTACACCAACACCGGTCCCTATCCAGAACCATGTTCAACTACCAATAAACCATGGAGAAAAATCGGAAAAATTTAACGGTACTGAGTTTAAGAGATAGCAGCAGAAGATGTTGTTCTATCTTGCATCTCTA